AGACTATGGGAATATGATGTGAGAATGTGAAAGGTGAACATATGATCTATAATATGACATTGTGACATAATGTGACATGAGATATGATGAGATGTGAAATATGAAATGAAATGTGAAATGTTGAGTCAATGTAATTGTGAATGTGAGACATGCATCATATGCATATATGACTTATTCTAGGTATGTCGCTTAGGCCACATACCAGTGATGTAACAAGCTATGTGATGAAACGAATTATGCTAGGTGTGTTGCTTAGGCCGCATACCAGTGATGTAATAGGCAATGTGGTGAAATGACTTATGTCAGGTATGTTGCTTAGGCCGCATACCAGTGATGTAACAGGCAGTATGATGAAATAACTTATGCCAGTATGTTGCTTAGGCCGCATACTAGTGATGTAACAGACAATGTGATGAAATGACTTATGTCAGGTGTGCAGCTTAGGCCGCATACCAGTGATGTAACAAGCTATGTCATGAAATGACTTATTCTAGGTGTACCTTGGGTCACCAGTGATGAAAAATGTGAAACTTCCGTATGGCGCCACATGCATGCATTTATGAGTCGAGTCCATGACATCATTACATGACCAATGAGTGTGCAAGTGATATTGATTTTGTGTGCGCAGTGTTTACATGTGATTTGTACTTGTGACTTATGTTTGTTGTGTGTGGGTGTTATCTAATCTTTATTTCTGCACTTGAACCTGAGTGAGATATTTCTCACTCCTTTGTTGTTATTTGTCTTTGTTTAAATTGTGTTGCAGGTGATCATCAGCAGAGGATGTTGATGATGATGCTTAGGCTTCAGTTAGGCATGCTCTGATAAGATATGTGACATCGGGGCTTAGTTAGGTTTAGCATTGGAGTTTCATTACTGTTATTTGGAAAGATTGATATTTTATTTTGTCATCATTTCCGCATTGGACTACGATTTGCGAAATATGAATGTGAACTCTCTATCTATATATTTTGAAACCTTATTTTTAAGAAAGTTTTATTTACTCAAGAATGTACTTTATATTTATTTTTAGGGTTTAGGGTTTAGGGTTTAGGTTTAGCATTGGACTCCACTAAATGTGACATCCTCTACCCCACATACATAAAACAACAATAAATATAAAGTACATTCTTGAGTAAATAAAACTTTCTTAAAAATAAGGTTTCAAAATACATAGATAGAGAGTTCACATTCATATTTCGCAAATCGTAGTCAAATGCAGAAATGATGACAAAATAAAACATCAATCTTTCCAAATAACAGTAATGAAACTCCAATGATTAGCCTAACTAAGCCCTGATGTCACATATCCAATCAGAGCATGCCCAACTGAAGTCTAAGCCTCATGACCAACATCCTCATGTTGATGATCACCTGCAACATAATTTAAACATAGACAAATAACAACAAAGGAGTGAGAAACATCTCACTCAGGTTCAAGTGCAGAAATAAAGGTTAGATAACACACACACACAACAAACATTAGTCACAAGTACAAATCACATGTAAACACTACGCATACAAAATCAATATCAGTTGCACACTCATTTATCATGTAATGATGTCATGGACTCGACTCATAAATGCATGCATTTGGCGCCATACGGAAGTTTCACATTTTTCATCACTGGTGAACCAAGGTACACCTAGAATAAGTCATTTCATGACATAGCCTGTTACATCACTGGTATCCGACTTAAGCTGCACACCTGACATAAGTCATTTCATCACATTGCCTATTGCATCACTGGTATGCGGCCTAAGCAACATACCTGACATAAGTCATTTCATCACACTGCCTGTTACATCACTAGTATGCGGCCTAAGCAACATACCTGGAATAAGTCATTTCATCACATTGCCTATTACATCACTGGTATGCGGCTTAAGCAACACACCTGGCATAAGTCGTTTCATCACATAGCTTGTTACATCACTGGTATGCGGCCTAAGCGGCATACCTGGAATAAGTCATATATGCATATGATGCATGTCTCACATTCACAATTACATTGACTCAACATTCACATCTCATTTCACATTTCACATCTCATCATATCTCATGTCACATTATGTCACAATGTCATATTATAGATCATATGTTCACCTTTCACATTCTCACATCATATTCTCATAGTCTCATAAAGAAACTTCTCATCATCATATACATCAAAATGATACATAAATCATACCAAGAACTTATCTAAAACATGAAGCTATCATCAATGTAACGCCCGATTTATATAATAATAATTATATATTTTCTTATATAATATTTTCGCAATTATATCATTAATAATATTTTTTTAATGAAGATAAAGATAAAGAAAAAGAATATTTTGTGAATTTATTACATGATATATCGTTTTAAAATATTTACAATAAATGTATTATTTTATACATTATTTCTTTCGTCCACTTCTATTACAATATTTACATTGATAGTGAAAAGAAAATTACAACTGAAATAATATGGTTGGCAAATAAAATTATAACAAATCCATCAAATAGCCTCCATATTCCAATTTCTTCCAAGTAGGACAACAGTAATAACAATTGCAAAATGATCTAGAATCCCAAGTAGATCCATCTATTTTATAATATATTTAATTTTAAAAACAAAGAAAAGAGAGGAGTGAGAACAATATCCAATAAATACAATAATTCAAAAGAATATACATAATTACTTATAATCAATATTAAACATATATATATATATATATATATATAAATATATATACAGATCATATATTATATTTTCATGTTTCAATAAAATTTGAATTATACTTGTAGTGACTAGTCAGGATAAATGAGCATCATCATAATACCAACCAACAAAAGAATATTTCACCTTAACTAACAAGAGAATATTTCACCTTCATTCTTTACTCATTTAAATTACCAAGGTCAAACCTCCAGCTACAAATAATTCAAACTTTATCTTCTATGGCCACAGAATAGTATTTATCTTCATAAATACATGAAGAAATAACAATAATACGACTCAAAGATATTGAAACTATATTATAGTTGATTATAAAATATATTTACAATAAATATATCTACGTCACAAGAATATATTAAGAGTATCAATCATATAAAAAAAATGATAATCATTATAGAATAATTAAACAATATAAAATATGAACATCTTATTAATTATTATGAGTAAAAATAATTATAGGTTAAGCAAATAAATGAGGTTAGGGACACCTCACTGAATAAATACACATAGAAAATAACATAAATAAATAAATATAGTAGTATATAAAATTTTAAAGAGATAAAGTTCTCCTCCCCCTTACCTTAGAACGTCTGCGTAAAAACTTCAAGACCCTTTTTCCTACTCATTTTTCCTCTCTTTCTCTCTTTCTTTCTTTTTCTCTCTCTTTCTCTCTTTCTCTTTCTCTCTCTAAATTTTCACCTTTGGTTGTTATGATTTTTCACAACCCCCTCCCTCCTATTTATAGAAATTCGGAGTGGGCAGAACGACCCGTTCTAAAATCGAAACGGCCCGTTCTAGACCCATTTCGTTATGTGCAAAATTTATCACTGAAACGACCCGTTCTCAACACCAGAACGACCCGTTCTTAAACGAGAACGCCCCGTTCTGGGTTTGAGTTTAACATATGTTGACCATATTGGGAACGACCCGTTTCCAACTTGAATTTTAGGCCATTTTGTTTATCTAGAACGGCCCGTTCCACTTTTTAGAACGCCCGTTCCGATTTTGAGAACAGCCCGTTACGCTTTTTGGAACGTCCCGTTCTGGGCCTGAAAAAAAAAAACAAAATTTCATATTTAAAAAATTAATTTTTCATAAATATTTAAATTATTATTAAAAATTCTAAAATCTTCTATAAAATTCCTTTAATTAATTAATAACTATAAGAAAATAATTTTTATAAATATAAAATAATAATTAAATATTGTATAAATTTTGGGATGTTACAGTAACAGTTATAATTAGTGTACTTAATATATAATGTCATTAATATTTAATAAAATAATATTGACATTTATGTAATAAAATAATTAATTATCTTTAATTATTAATACAAAATCAATATATTTATTATTATATTACAATTTTCAATTTTCTATATTTAATAAATTTAATTTAAATAATAAA